AAATTGAATAATGGAGAAATAACCAACTAAAATACTTTCCTCAGACCTTTATCTCTATATTTTATAAGACAGATTCTTCTGAACTGTACTGTCCATTGAGGATTTAATTTAAGAGTGATTTAATTTGGCCATAAAAGATGATCATGAGGTAGATCTACCACTAGCCCCTATGACTAAGTAATTATAGCAACTTACACATACACCAGGAATATTGACGTGTTCCTTTATCTTCCTCATTTAAAAGTAATTCATGAAGATAACAACAGTTCCATCTTAAATCATAATCTACAAAGAATATGAGATTGAAATGGCATATTGTTCTATGTCTGTTATATTTATTAGAATTTATATCTTGTGTCTTGTTAATGAAAGTCCTAATTATTTCTCCAAAGTTCCTCCAAGTGTTGCTGGTGCTGAAATTCCAAGTGATGTCAGTGTCCTTCTGGGAGAAAATGTTGAGCTGGTCTGCAATGCAAATGGCATTCCGACCCCACTTATTCAATGGCTTAAAGATGGAAAGCCCATAGCTAGTGGAGAAACAGAAAGAATCCGGTATGTTTAAAAAGAATCTTTGCATTAAAAATTGTAAGGTCTTCTACAGTGCTTTCTGCTTCAAATTTCACATAAATAATAATGCCAAATTCCATCTCATTGGAACGTGGCTATCATCATATTCACAAAGGAAAAGAAAATTTTTTGGAGAACTGGACATAGACATTCTCCTTGGAGAATCACTCAGAACTGTGTATGTTTCTTATCCATTAACTTGTTAATGTTAATTAACAAAATGTTAATTAACTCATTAACTTAACTCATTAACTGTAATGTTAACTATTGCTGATTTTATTCTTCTAATTTCAGAATGGTTATATGAAAGCCCATGACATAAAAAAATAAGTTCTTTCCTGCAAATGCCAGACCAACTTTATCTCACAAATGATTCATCAATAATTCTAGACACGACTTTGTATGCTGAAACCACCAAACTGTGTACATGCTATACCGATTGGCTCCTTTTGAGAAAAGATACAGTAATGTCATAACTCTCATAATGGTTTGTCCAAATCCCACTTTTAGCTGGCACTTGTTTCCCATGCCACAAACCACATAGAGATGGAATAATAATGTGATAAGAGCCTCCTATTACTTTCAACAACAAATTCCTTTGGAAAGACATTCCGGAATTTGATATTGTACTAGATTACTTCATCACAAAATCCCATTACATACATATACCAGATTATATGCATAAGTAGGCATTAATTAAATGTATTGTACACTTTAACATTTTGAGCCAATATGTAAACTTAAGGGTTTGGAGTATACTTTCTGGTCAATAAACTGAATATACATAACTTAAAGACAGATAAATATGATTTTCTCTGTATTCATTGTGTATTAACATTTCAAGTCTTTTAGAGGATGCATTTTAAGTTTTACTTCTCTGGTGTGAACATTTCTGAGTATTTAATTATTTTCATTAAATCAGCTGGTATTCACCATATTCTAGACCAAGTACTAGATATTCAATGGTACCTAAAGATTTTATATAAGATATAAAGATAGGATCTTTCATATATGATATCTTTTATATAAGATAATATTTGTAACTAGGAATTTAGAGTCTATCATTCCTTCTCCTATATTAACATTCTAAATTCGCTTATTCTTTCATCTTTATTTTCATTCATGCCATAATATGTATAGATTTGTAGGTAGAACAGTTTGTCAATCAAGTACAGTAGTTTTTCCAAAGTCAAGGTACTACTTTTGTTTGATCATGGCAACTTGCTTTTTTGCTTGTTAATTTGATTAAACTCATGGAATTTAAAATATTATATTTTGAAAAAGAAAAAATATAACAACTATATCCCAGATAATAATATAGCTCTCAACAAACATTTAATAACAAGGTGTAGTAGAAATGGAGCTTTTTCTTTTGACAGTGATTCTAATGAAATCACTATTGCACAAGTAACTGTAGATGGCAACTTAATCTCTATATGAAACAAAGGAAATTTTGCTTTGTAATTAATGGTATGTGAAGACAACCAATAATGAAATGATCTTGGCTTAGAGATCTTAGATTATCTCATTGTATATTTATCTTTTACTATTATGTAATTCAAAAGAAAAGCTTTATTTAGCAATAATTTGTAGAAAAAAATGTTTGCAAAACGTAGCGACACATGATACACATGATGTTGTCACAATTTAAATAAATGATCCTATTCTATTTTTTATTGAGGTATTAAGTTGTTTATAACTAGTTTTATGTATAAGTTTTTCAGTTTCTCATTGTCTGTAACAGTCTTCAGTTTGCATGCCAGAATTTTGTATAACATGCATTTAATTCAAACTTTATATTGATAACTAAGAATATATTATTCTTTGAGAAAAATATGTCTTTCCTATGATTTGAATAGAGAAGTATTCCTGATTTTGTTCATTTCCTTTTTTCCTCATAAGGAAATAGTGGATATGAGACTCATTACTGTAGAATTTCAGTTGGTTGCTTGAGTTTTCCATCAGTTTCAGTAACTCTGATTTTAAAAGGCTTGCATGTACTTAGTGAAATAGATTTAAACTATGATATCCAAGATGAAGATACCATTTTATGGTGTGTTTTTTTAAAGAAAACAATAATCTGAAGTGAGTTTTCTAGATCTTAGCTTCACATTAATCATCTCAGCCCCTCTGTTATGATCTTTTCCATAGAGTGAGTGCAAATGGCAGCACATTAAACATTTATGGAGCTCTTACATCTGACACAGGGAAATACACGTGTGTTGCTACTAATCCTGCTGGAGAAGAAGACCGAATTTTTAACCTGAATGTCTATGGTAAATATGAAATATCACCCTCTTTTAATAATGCTGCCTCAAGAAGCTGCGAATAGAAGTGAAGGTCCAGCAACAGGTGTCTGGAGCATTTAGTCTGAAATTTGATGCCACCATTATGTCCTTTAGGGATACAATGATGAAATGAGAGCAACTGTAGTTGAAATTATTTGAACTAGTAATACATCCCTCTTCCTTCTCTCTCACTTTCTGCTGTCATAGTTACACCTACAATCAGAGGTAATAAAGAAGAAGCAGAGAAACTAATGACCTTAGTGGATACTTCAGTAAATATTGAATGCAGAGCCACAGGGACGCCTCCACCACAGATAAACTGGCTGAAGAATGGACTTCCTCTGCCTGTCTCCTCCCATATCCGGTTACTGGCAGCAGGACAAGTTATCAGGTCAGCTTTTATTGTGTATTATTTCCTAAACAGATGAAGTAACTGTGATGATAGACTTCTCCTTCATCTAAACAGTGTTTAAGAAATGTTCTTTTCTAAGCTTTTACTGTGTTTTTTCTCTTTAAGTATGTTTTTAGTAGAAGTAGGGCAACAAATATACAATTAAAATGATTTTTATCCTTATTTAAATGCTCATGTTTTAGTAAATATGTAAAATGGGTCTTTTATAGACAGGTTTGTTACCATATATGTATTTCCAGGAATTACTCTTTTAGCTAAAACTTTATGTGGCAAGATGGTAGGAAGATGCCTACTGTGATAATGTGATTTTCATGTTAGCAGCATTCTTTATTAATATGCATTTGAAAAATATTCACCTCTTAAATTATGCTATATTTTCAGTGGTTTATTGTCACTGCCTAATCAGCTTTGTAGAATAAATTGCATTTGAGGCCCCTATATTTTGTGATGGATGGCCATAAGCTTCATAATTAAAATTTTCCAACATAAATCACCTTCTATAACCTATTTATAAATCATAATTATTTTATGTGTATTTGTTGCATGGGATCAAGTGATGAAATGTTGGATCAAATTGTTTCTCAGGATTGTGAGAGCTCAGGTGTCTGATGTCGCTGTGTATACTTGTGTGGCCTCCAACAGAGCTGGGGTGGATAATAAGCATTACAATCTTCAAGTGTTTGGTATGTGTCACAGAAATGACCCCATTACTTTACCATCTCAGTACTAAGCAACAGGCTTATCTTTAGAAATTGACTTCCTCAGAGATTTAGAATTCTGACTTTCCTCCATCAAAAAGAATTAGTGAAACAGGATCTCATTGACTAGAGAAGAATGTATTTTCTTCCAAAGGGTCCATATTATTGCACCATACTGTCTGTCTGTTAAAATACTCTTCTGATCTAGCAATTTGTACTAAATTAAATCTATTTTTTTTTTAAATAGCATTTCAATCCAGACACAAGACCAGTCTTTTCATGTAAAGAAAAAGTCAAATCTTTTCTAGCAGCTTGTTTAGAGTATTCAGACTATGAAGGATGCATGCACGTGTGCGTGTGCATGTGCGTGTGCATGTGTGTGTGCGTGTGTGTGTGTGTGGAGAGACCTCAATACCTTCCATTTCTGAAATGTTGAAGTTTGCTGATCCACATTTCCCAATCCCCAGAACACCTCAGAGCAATTAAGTTACTCTTTATTATAATCTACAAATGACTTACTCTATAACTTGATATTATTTTATTTATACTCTATAAACTAGTTAAAAGAACACTACTAAAACTATTATATACATTACAACAAATTAAAGAGATGGACCTAAAAAGTTGAAAAATCGCCAAAATTTAAAACACATCGTGTGTTCTCTAAGAAAACATTAGGTTTTATTGCTAATATTTAGAAAATTAATAATTAGCATTCCAAATAGATATTTTTATTGTCAAGTCCTTAGTTATTATACACAGCTTTAAAGTGTATATTTTCTTCAGTGACAGAAACATTATAGAATTAATTTAAATTTATCTCAAATTACAATAGACATCCAAATTTTTCCCATGTTGTTTTCTATGTAGCACCACCAAATATGGACAATGCAATGGGGACAGAGGAAATTACAATTCTCAAAGGCAGTTCCACCTCTATGACATGCATTACAAATGGAACCCCAGCTCCCAGTATGGCCTGGCTTAGAGATGGCCAGCCCCTGGGGCTTGATGCCCATCTGACAGTCAGCTCCCATGGAATGGTCCTGCAGCTCCTCAAAGCAGAGACGGAAGATTCGGGAAAGTACACCTGCATTGCCTCAAATGAAGCTGGAGAAGTCAGCAAGCACTTTATCCTCAAGGTCCTAGGTATGTAAACATTCTGGGACATGTAGAATAATTGGAAAGTAAGTGACAGTGAACGTTTTGTAAATAAGTATAATTATTAGACTCAGTTGCTATGAGGCAAAATTTTTGTTGCATTTTTATTTCTTTTATAATTCACCTTAGCTTACTCTCATCTGAAGCATGTTAAATTTAGAGTGTATTTTTTATGTCTGAAAAGATTAAAACTCCAGCTCATAAAGCATTATTCATTGATAAAATCTTATAACCAATTGATAAGTACGTTTTTGACTTTTGCCAAGAACTGAAAGCACATCTGATTCTAGAAATTTGATTTTAAAAAGCCTGGTACATATACTATTATACATAATCCCAATCTTTAAATAATCCAATCTCTAGATTGTAGTTGGAATAATCATTTCAATAGTCATTTTATTTACTCTTGATTGCATTTAAATACTTAAAATATGTATTCCCATGTTTTAAATGCAACAAACAGTTAAAGAGAAAACACTTCTTTCGCTTGAAGTAAAAAATGTTAAACTTGGAAAAGAAAGAAGATAATGAAATGAAGTATTTCAATAAGAAATACTTTTGGCATTTTGTTTATTTTTTTCACTGTGAGGTGAGACCCCATGCTCCTTACATAGCAGAAAATACACCCTATAGAGAAGAGCAAAATAATTTTGGCAAGAGCCTTGGTTAGGTGGAAGTTAGCATGTTTCAGAGTATGTTATAATCTTTCTTGGAGCACCTATTTAAATTTAATTATTTATATAACCCTTAAATTCTGCTTCATCCCTAGTTAAGCTTTATGAGGGCAAATGTCTCCTTACTTATTGCTGGATTCCCAGTGCTTAGCATGACATTTAATACGTTAGAGACTATTATTTGTTGGATTGAATTGAGCCAAATTAGTTACTTTCCAGATGGATTAAAGGGAGTTTCATCCCTAGAGGGAACAGAACAATATCTAAATAAACGAAGTATGATTCTCTGGATTAGATGAGACTTCCAAAGGAAGTTCTTCAGGATATTTAGAGGCAAAAGAAAACAAAAAGCCAATATCCCTCATCAACATAGTTGCAAAATCCTCAGCAAAATACTAGCAAAACAAATTCAACAGTATATTAAGAAGATCATTGACTCTGATCAAATGGGTTGCCTTCCAGGGATGCAAGGATGTTTTAACATACACAATCAATAAATGTGATACATCATTTATTAACAAATAGGACAAAAATCATATGATTATTTCAATAGATGTGAAAAAAAGCATTTGACAAAATTCAACATTCCTTCATGAGAGAAACTCTCAACAAATTATGTACAGAGGATACATACCTCAACAAAATAAAGACTGTAGTAAACCCACAGCTAAGATCACACTAAAAAAGAAAAAGTCAGAAGCCTTTCTAATAAGGTCTAGAAGAAGATAAGGATGCCCACTTTCTCTACTTCTGTTAGACATGGTGTTGAAGTCCTAGCTAGAGCAACCAGGCAAAAAAATAAATAAATAAAAGGCATCCAAATTCGAAAGGAGGAAGTCAAATATTCTGTTTGCAGACTGCATAATCTTAAATATAGAAAACCTCTTAAGACTCCACCAAAAAAACTCTTAGAAATGATAAATTCAGTAAAGTTGCAGGATACAAAATCAACATACAAAAATCATTGGTATTTCTATTTGCCAACCGCAAATTATCTGAAAAACAAATCAAGAAAATAATCCCATTTATTGTCCGCCCTTCATATCCATGGGTTCCACATCTGTAGATTCAAACAACTGCATATCAGAAATCTAATATTCATTGGATGTGGAATCCATGGATAGTGAGGGCCAACTTCTGTATCCATGAGTTTCCCAAGGCCTACTGCCGGGCTTGAGAATCTGCAGATTGTGGTACTCACAGAGGGTCTGGAACCAGTCCTCTGCAGATACTGAGGTGTACATATCTATCCACAAAAAAGAAAATAAGAATAAATTTAAACCTCAGTGAAAGAAGTGGAAAGGAAACAAATGGAAAGATAGTTCAAGTTCATGAATTGGAAGAATTAAAATTATTAAAATGGCTATACTTCCCAAACAATCTACAGATTCAGTGCAATTTTTATCAAAATACCATTGGCATTCTTCACTGGAATAGAAAAAAATAATTCTAAAATTTGTATGGAACCACCAAAGACTCCAAATAACCAAAGCAATCTTGAATAAAAGGAACAAAGCTGAAGGCATCACACTACCTGACTTAAAATATATACTACAAAGCTGTATTAATCAAAGCAGCATGCTATTGGCATAAAAACAGACACATAGACCAACTGAACAGAATAAGGTGCACAGAAGTAAATTCATACATCTACAGCCACCTGATTTTTGACAAAGGTTCCAAGAACACATACTGGGGAAAGGACAGTCTCTTCAATAAATAGTGCTGGAAAAATTGGGATGTCCACATGCATATGAAACTGCACCTCTATCTTGCACTGTACATAAAAATCAACTCAAAATGGATTAAAGATTAAATGTAAGATCACAAACTATGAAACTACTAGAAGAAAACACAAAGGAAACACTTCATGATATTGGACTAGGCAAGGATTTTTCTGGATAAGACTTTGAAAGCTTGAGCAACAAAAGCAAAAATAGACAAATGGGATTATATCAACTAAAAAGCTTCTGCACAGCTAAGGAAACATTCAACAAAGTGAAGAGACAATCTACAGTATGGGAGAAAATATTTCAAACTGTACATCAAATAAGGGGTTAATACTCAATACATATAAGGAACTTAATAGCAAAAATACAAAGAGTACAGTTTTAAAATGAACAAAAACCTTAACAGACATTTCTCAAAAGAAGACATGCAAATGGCCAACGGGTATATTTAAAAAGCCTCGACGTCACTAACCATCAAAGAAAAGCAAAGCAAATCCATAATGAGATATCACCTGACTCTAGTGAGGATGGATATTACCAAAAAGACAAATGATAACAAGTGTTGGCAAGGATGTGGAGAAAAGAGAACACTTGTACACAGTTGGTGGGACTGTAAATTAGTACAGCCACTATGACAAACAGTATAGAGGTTCCTCAAAATATTAATAATAGAACTACCATGTGGTTCAACAATCCCACTACTGGATATATATCCAAAGGAAATGAAATCAGTATGTCAAATAAATCTACATTTATTCCAGCACTATTCACAACAGACAAGATGTGTAACCAACCTAAGTGTTCAACGATGGATGAATAAATAAAGACAATGTAGTAGATACACACAATGGAATACTATTCAGCCATAAAAAAGAATGAAATCCTGTCACATGATAACATGGATGAACCTGGAGAACATTAAACTATGTGAAATAAGCCAAGCACAGAAAGAAAATACCACATGATTTCACTCATGAAATTTTAGAAGGTTGATCTCATATAAGTAATGAATAGAACAGTGATTACCAAATTCAAGGGAGATGGGGGAGTTGGTCAATGGGTGCAAAGTTACAATTAGAAAGGAAGAATGAGCTCTGATGTTCTATTGCACAGTAGGGTGACTATAGTTAACAATATAGTATTTTATATCTCAGAATAGCTAGTAGAGAGGACTTTCAGTGCTTTCACCACAAAGAACTGATAAATGTTTGAGGTGATGGAAATGCTCATTACCCTGATTTGATAATTACACGACGTATACATGTATGGGAACATCACATTGCACAATAATTATGTGTTGATAAGGAAAAAAAAAGAAAAAACTGTGTGTTTGGGAGGCGCAGGTTGGGGTTGGGTAGAAAATTCCTGTACATCAATTTACCGAATGTGAGGAATAAGAGGAGATGACATAATGTGATCCTGTCCATTCATCATTTACATATTAAGTATTATTGAATATAAATTATGTGACAGGCATGTTTGTAGCCATCATTTAACTATGATTATGAACGTGTGTGGTGTGGCAGACACATAAATGCATCACTGAGATAGATGTGATCACTGCCCTCAACTCCCTTCATCTGTGGAGGGCACAGATACTAAAGAAGTCATTATTTTTCCATGTGATGAAGATTATATGGATAAAATAACATTCTGTGGAATGGTAAATTTCAGATTTGATCTCCTCAAGCATAAATCTGAAACCTGAAGAGTAGGACTGTAGAGATGAGTGGGGAATTAGAGATCTTATTTCTCACCTAGAGATAATACAATTTGAATTGTCAGTTTGCCCTCCCTGAAACTGAGTGCGAAAGGAAGCGTAGCAGGAGACAAGACTGAAACTATATATGCACAAAAACTAAACTATGAAAAGGTCTGACAACTTTTTAGGGAGTTTTGACCTCATCACCAAGGCAATGGAAGAATCTTAGGGAGAAATATGTTACAGCCAGATTTCATTTCCAAAAAAGATCCCTCTGGTGACAGAGTGAAAAATGAATTGAAGAGGCTGCTGTTTTCATACAGGCCTGTAAATGCAAGGGCCTGGTCTAGTATGTGGCAGGGGTAGGAGTAGCTGGGAGAGAAAGAACCAGGAGCAGAATCACAGACCAGTGCATTTCTGGATGAAGAAAATGAAGGAGAAAAAGAACAATGACATTCTTAGTGGAATTCTTAAAGAACAGCCTGCCTTTTATAAAGTAGAAGAGTTTACAAGAACAACATTTTCTCAAACCAGATTTGAAAACTGGCTTAGAAGAAAAATGAGAAGTTTTAGCTTTTCAGCATCTGTTGAAAATTAATTCCATTAAACTCTGAAAAGTTCTTCACTTGAAGCAGTGCTACCACTCAGAATACAAACATCTTAACTTGGGGAAATATGCTCAATTTAATTCTATCCATGTGGTGGGAGGTATCATGGCATAGTAGTGGTTCTGAAAAGTCCAGTGTGGCTAGACCACTGATGACAAAGGAGAGCATCATACAGAATAGGGGGTACTGACAGGGTCAGGTCATAAAGGGCTTTGTTGACCACATTAAGAAGTTTGCTTTTTATCCCTTAACAATGAGAAAGCATTGAAAGTTCTAAAAATGGAATA